TCCTTCCTTCCTTCCTTCCTTCCTTCCTTCCTTCCTTCCTTCCTTCCCTCTCTTTCTTTCCTTTTTCTTTCTCTATACACACACACCCCTATTATTTTTCACTTTCTTTTTAAATGATATGAGGAATTTAAAAAACTTTTTTCATTTTCTTTATACACCTATAAATACATAGTATACATATATAGTTGTAAGCATTTCTGAAGGGTAAGAAAGTAGGTTATGGTCTGTAGAATTAACAAATGATCATTATTCTGGCTTTTTTTTTTTTCTGATTCCAACATAGTCGGCAGCCTTGCATCTCTATGTGGCTTTATGAAATTTCTGTGAGGTAGGATTTATCCCTCCTTGGCAGACTACAGGGGAAGAACTAGTCTTCAAATCCGGACAGACTGCCTCAGAGCCTCCACCTTCACCCACCGCACAGTGCCGCTTCATGGGGCTGTGCCGAACAGGTGCAGGGCCGCTAAAATGAGTGAGGCATGGCCCTGTGTGTGGGGGTTCAGAATGGAGGGCCTGCTTCTGTCTCCCCAGGGCCTCCTCACCACCTAGTCCTTAGATAGAGGTTTTTAGATAAGCTTGTGTAAGAAAAGGCCACAGAGATGACCCAGAAATATGTTCAGAGTATTGGACAGGGGTTGGCAAATTTCACCCTGAGGGTCAAATCTAGTCTGTCACGTATTTCTGTAAACAAAGTTTTATTGAAACACAGCCACACCTATTTGTTCACACATGGTCTATGCTCCAAGGGCAGAGGTGAGTGAGTAGTCTCAACAGAGACTGAATGGCTCACAAAGCCTAAAATCTTTACTATCAGGCCTTTTCCATAAAAAGTTTGCCAGCCCCTGGTGTAGGGGACCACTTTGGGGCTGGGGGCGGCAGTGGCTAGTCCCACTGGGTGATTGACAGGAGCCTCTATTCTTGCTGCCTCAAGTGTGAATCTGCCCAGATGCACTGGCCTGTGGGATGGGCAACTCGGGGCAACTCTGGGCAATTCGGAGAGCTTGCTAGAGATATACACTCTGCCCCCCCAGATCCGCTGAATCAAAATTTGCATTTTCACAAGATGCATAAGGTGGTGCTTCCTGTGCTGAGCACATTTTGAGAAGTGTGGGGATAGATAATCACACCTGGGTGCCTTGCTGGGAGTATTCAGATATGAAACGAGCCCCCTTGAATTGAATCATTTTGCTTTAATTCTTTGTATGAACTCGTTAGATGCTATTAATTTCTGTGCGTCAGTGTTTCTAAACCAGTCCATTTATGACCAGATCAGATAGAAGTGTTTTTCATTTTTCATACTGGGAAATAAATGTCAACTTGGTGGGTTTTTGTTTTTTTTGTTTGTTTGTTTTTGTTTTTTTGGATGTTGTTGCATGAAATGTTCTTTTTTTTTTTAAGATTTTATTTATTTGACAGAAAGAGAGCACAAGCAAGGGGAGCGGCAGAGGGAGAGGGAGAAGCAGGCTTCCCGCTGAGCAGGGAGCCCAATGTGGGGCTCGATCCCAGGACCCCGGGATCATGACCCGAAGCGAAGGCAGCCGCTTAACCGACTGAGCCACCCAGGCGTCCCACGTGAAATGGTGTTTTAATGTCGGAGTCTGGCAACTTCTCCCCCCTCCCCGCCGGAAGTTGCTAAGTCTCTGAAGGAAGGTGGCATTCCCTCTCTCTGACCCTTTCCCCTCACCCCGTGACTTAGCCCTGGAAGTTTCTCAACCTTTTCCTTTTCTGTAGGAAATCAGATGTCAAACCCTTCTCCCCTTGCTTTTGTTTACTTAGAAAAACCTACAGTTATTGGTCTGTCTGCACGGCTCCATCTTGGTGGTGAAACTGTGTATAAAAAGATGGAAACAACCTCATGACCCTGACATGGGTCAGGCAAGTAATCCCAAGCTGGTTTATATTTATTGAAGGATTTAAAACCAGAGTATACACAGGAAATGGTTTTATTTTCTAATTACTGCTTTATTTTGTTTTGGAGCCCAGTGCAGGGCTTGAACTCAAGATCAGGACCTGAGCTGAGATCAAGAGCCGGAGGCTCAATTCCCTGAGCCACCCAGGAACCCCTCTAATTCCTGCTTTTAACTTTGTCAACTCCCCATTTCCCCGTTGGATGTGGGGTCCTTTAGCATCAGGACCAGATTCCAGATTCCATAACCTGGAAATGGCCTCACATTTGGTGTTCAAGACCCAGTGCTGTTCGTTTTTAAAACTGCACTGGACAGAGCTTGGCTCCCCCTCTGGTGTAGACCGGGCTGCTGGGAGGGGCTGGGACTGGGAAGAGGGACGAAGGGCAGGGCCTCCTTAGTACCTGCTGCAGGAGGCAGCGGAGGGAGGGGACGGGGTTGGGACTGCCTAGGATCAGCTCGATCCAGCGGATGTAGTGACATGGGTGGCGTCTGTCCTTGCTCTATCTGGGAGGCACCAGGCAATTTCCCCGCCTTATGCTCTGTTAGCTACTGGGGGCGGGGCTGTTGGGCAAACTTTCTGGAAAAGCATCTCCAAAGGAGTGAGGGCTATGAAATGTCGGGAAGGGGACTGCTTTCCAGCAGTGGGAGCGTTCCTTTACTATTTCTTTTTTTTTTTTTAATAATTTTTTATTGTTATGTTAATCACCATACATCATTAGTTTTTGATGTAGTGTTCCATGATTCATTGTTTGTGCATAACACCCAGTGCTCCACGCAGAATGTGCCCTCATTAATACCCATCACCAGGCTAACCCATCCCCCCACCCCCTCCCCTCTAGAACCCTCAGTTTGTTTTTCAGAGTCCATTGTCTCTCATGGTTCGTCTCCCCCTCTGACTTTCTCCCCTTCATTCTTCCCCTCCTGCTATCTTCTTCTTCTTCTTTTTTTTCTTAACATATATTGCATTATTTGTTTCAGAAGTACAGATCCGTGATTCATCAGTCTTGTACAATTCACAGTGCTCACCATAGCACATACCCTCCCCAATGTCTATCACCCAGCCACCCAATCCCTCCCCCCCCCCACCACTCCAGCAACCCTCAGTTTTTTTCCTGAGATTAAGAATTCCTCATATCAGTGAGGTCATATGATACATGTCTTTCTCTGATTGACTTATTTCACTCAGCATAACACCCTCCAGTTCCATCCACGTTGTTGCAAATGGCAAGATCTCATTCCTTTTGATGGCCGCATAATATTCCATCGTGTATATAATACTACATCTTCTTTATCCATTCATCTGTCGATGGACATCTTGGCTCTTTCCACAGTTTGGCTATTGTGGACATTGCTGCTATAAACATCGGGGTGCACGTACCCCTTCAGTTCCCTACATTTGTATCTTTGGGGTAAATACCCAGTAGTGCAATTGCTGGATTGTAGGGTAGCTCTATTTTCAACTGTTGGAGGAACCTCCATACTATTTTCCAGAGTGGCTGCACCAGCTAGCATTCCCACCAACAGTGTAGGAGGGTTCCCCTTTCTCCACATCCCCGCCAACATCTGTCGTTTCCTGACTTGTTAATTTTAGCCATTCTGACTGGTGTGAGGTGGTATCTCATTGAGGTTTTGATTTGGATTTCCCTGATGCCGAGCGATGTTGAGCACTTTTTCATGTGTCTCTTGGCCATTTGGATGTCTTCTTTGGAAAAATGTCTGTTCATGTCTTCTGCCCGTTTCTTGATTGGATTATTTGTTCTTTGGGTGTTGAGTTTGATAAGTTCTTTATAGATTTTGGATACTAGCCCTTTATCTGATATGTCATTTGCAAATGTTTTCTCCCATTCTGTCGGTTGTCTTTTGGTTTTGTGGACTGTTTCTTTTGCTGTGCAAAAGCTTTTTATCTTGATGAAATCCCAATAGTTCATTTTTGCCCTGGCTTCCCTTGTCTTTGGCGATGTTTCTAGGAAGAAGTTGCTGTGGCTGAGGTCGAAGAGGTTGCTGCCTGTGTTCTCCTTAAGGATTTTGATGGACTCCTGTCTCACGTTTAGGTCTTTCAACCATTTGGAGTCTATTTTTGTGTGTGGTGTAAGGAAATAGTCCAGTTTCATTCTTCTGCATGTGGCTGTCCAATTTTCCCAACACCATTTGTTGAAGAGACTGTCTTTTTTCCATTGGACATTCTTTCCTGCTTTGTCAAAGATGAGTTGACCATAGAGTTGAGGGTCCATTTCTGGGCTCTCGATTCTGTTCCATTGATCTATGTGTCTGTTTTTGTGCCAGTACCATACTGTCTTGATGATGACAGCTTTGTAATAGAGCTGGAAGTCCGGAATTGTGATGCCGCCAGCTTTGCTTTTCTTTTTCAATATTCCTCTGGCTATTCGGGGTCTCTTCTGGTTCCATACAAATTTTAGGATTATTTGTTCCATTTCTTTGAAAAAGGTGGATGGTATTTTG